GGTGCTGCAGCATTGGGTCTCGCAACGATCAAACGCGGAAAAAGGAAATTTTTCAAAATTTTTCGCAATTAATTTTTGTATTTGTTGATTTGATTATTGTTTTTCATTATGGCGCGTTCAGGAGCAAAACGCGAAATTTTTTTCGAAATTCAAAAGAGCGTTCACGGCGATACTTCGAAATTAGCGAATTTCGATTTTTGAGATAATTTCGAGATAATTTTTCTTCTTTTTTTCTTTTTTTAGATAATTTTTTTCTTTTTATTTTTTTCAATTTTTCAACCCGTTCAAATTTATTGATTTTTAGAAATAGTACGAATGAAAGCCTTAAGTTAATTTTTTTCGACTGTCTGAACTTAAAAAAAGTTCAATTTTTTTCTCAAATTTCGAATTTATCGTGTTTATCCAACGGATGTATCAGAGTGTTTGAAGTTGCAGGTCTCTAAACTATGGCGGGTATTGGATTACCGAAAGTGCTAAAGTTGAAAAAAAGGTAATTTTCATTCAAAAAAACTTTTTTTCGCAGTTATTTTTTTACAAATTTTTGATTCTTTTCACAAAAAAAAATTTTTAGACTCGTTAGGGAGGCACGAGCGGCTCGTGTGAAGGTAACGCAAAATTTTTCGTCTCTACAGTCAAGCATAAATCCGTGATTTTTCGACGCAACGGTCAAGAAGAAAATGGAAGGTTTTTTTATCTATACAATTTTTCAATAACTGGTTCATTTCATTAAAAGAAAAGTATTGAATTTTTTTCAGCTCATTCGAACAAGACATTGTTGTTTGTGGCCAGCCGGATAAATTTGGAATTTACCATGTCTCGATTTTTGTCAAATACACAGCTTTTTAACTTCTCTTTCAATGATTTTTGTTTTTGTTTTTATTACGCGTTTATTTTTCTCTATCATTTGTTTGAATAAAGATGATGAGCATTACCTTCTTGAAAAATTAATGTAAAAAAAACAAGCTGCTTAGTTAATCAAATTAAAAACCTAACAACAGAAACTGTTTTGTGATGAGATGTTTCTGAAAGGCAGAAGAAAACAATGAAATTTTTTTATTAGAAAAAGTTCCATAAGGAAAGATCCAAGTTTCACGTGTAGTCTTTCGGCGTGTCCTTCGTAAACCGTTCGTCTAGGGTCTGTAAGCAGAAGAAATTTTTTTCCAGAAAGGAAAAGCTGGTTGAACGGTGGTATGAAAAAAACACAAGCAGAAATTCAAACAAAAATTCGCCCTTTTTCCGAATTTTTTTCATATCGCTAGGGAACTTTCCGACGGCCACCTCTCCGACGGATCCCTTTCCGACTTTTTTTCCCTTATATTTTTTTCGGTTTATAAAACATCTATCAACATATTTTTTTCCTATTTTTTTGTGTTTTTAAACATGAATAACTTGCCTACTTTATATAGGGATATTTAAAACGAAAAGTTTATTGAGAAGAAAATTCGATAAAAGATTGGTCGGAAAGTTCCCTAGCGATATGAAATAATCGGAGAAGTGGTCGTTCGAACTTTTGCTGTTCTTTTTTTCATACCATCGGTTGAACCGTGGTATTCATTTTTCGTTTACAACTGAACAAGACATATTGACAAGACATATTGAAAATGAAAGAAAATAACATCGAAGAATAAGAGAACTCACGAATTTATGCTTGACTGTAGAGACGAAAATTTTGCGTTACCTTCACACGAGCCGCTCGTGCCTCCCTAACGAGTCTAAATTTTTTTTTGTGAAAAGAATCAAAATTTGTAAAAAATAACTGCGAAAAAGTTTTTTGAATGAAAATTACCTTTTTTCAACTTTAGCACTTTCGGTAATCCAATACCCGCCATAGTTTAGAGACCTGCAACTTCAAACACTCTGATACATCCGTTGGAAAAAAAAAATGAACACGATAAATTCGAAATTTGAGAAAAATTGAACTTTTTTTTAAGTTCAGACAGTCGAAAAAATTAACTTAAGGCTTTCATTCGTTATATTTCTAAAATCAATAAATTTGAACGGGTTGAAAATTGAAAAATAAAAGAAAAAAGTCATCTAAAACAGAAAAAGAAGAAAAAAAATTATCTCGAAATTATCTCAAAAATCGAAATTCGCTAATTTCGAAGTATCGCCGTGAACGCTCTTTTGAATTTCGAAAAATTTCGCGTTTTGCTCCTGAACGCGCCATAATGAAAACAATAATCAAATCAACAAAAACAAAAAATTAATTGCGAAAATTACGAAAATTTCTTTTTTCCGCGTTTGATCGTTGCGAGACCCAATGTTGCAGCACCCGCGTAGCAGGCGCGTCGCGGCCCCTCGAAATGCCAATTTTCAGGATTTCGGGTTTTCAAATTAAACGAGAAAATCGTTACTTTTTTTTATTTTTCGATTCCCCGAAATTACTTTGAACACGGCATCAGAACGTGAATTTTGTGCAGCCGTCAAGCGCGCTCTGCGGATAACTTTTGCAATCGATAATCACGAGAAAATTCGCAAAAGCTCTTTTTTACAAATTCAATTACATTTTTTTTCCAGTAACTTCAGGCCAAGTTGAACTTCCTTCCTTTCTTAATGTCTAGCTAGAGTTAAGGAGTTTTTTTTGACAGGTTTTGGTTAAAACGGTTGATTAATTTTTCTAAATTCTAACTGTCTTAAATATCAATCCGAAAATGTCTTGCTGTTGTTTAAAAAAAAAACAGAACTCATTTGGCTATTAATTTCTAAGAAAGAATGTCGGAATTTAGGTTATATTTCTAGGCACAACTTTTGATTAATATTTCTGATTACCTAATGATCCAATTTTTTAAAATAAAATCATTATAAAACGCGTCCCTTCTCAAGTGTGATTTATGATTTTTCTATCAGATCCCTCTTCTTCTTTTTTCCAAAATGGCTCCACCATCCATGCTTGTTGATCTGATCAAATCAAGTTCCGCTCAAACAGCGGCACAGTTTTCTGATTGATTGATTGATAAGTTTTGTGGCTGATAAGCGAATTCCGCGGTTCGTTGAAATCAACCTACAGTAAGATGTTTTTCTCATTTGAGCAAAGTTTAATCTCGAGGCAAATGAAAACACAAAATGATAAGATTTTCTATTATAGCGATTTCTTATCAGTTTTTCTTTGATTTGATGATCATAAATCAGCACTTTTTGGACCCGAAGATTTCTGTTCGATAGAGGAATAAGGATATTTAAACAAATGAAAGACCAATGGAACCAGTCGAGTCCAAACTCGAGTTCCAAAAGATTCCCTTAAATTTTCGATTCTTTCAGTTTTGATTGGTTTGATAGTTCACAAAGTTTAGAAAGTTGATCAAGGTGGAAAATGGAAATTTGGTTGAAAAATCATATTATTGGTCCCTTTTTCTCAGAATTTTCTGGTCCAACTTTTGGTGTTAAGTTAGATTTTTCACTTATTTTCGCCTTAGAAATTCGAAATACTGAACTTCTTGACGAAATTCCCGATCAAAAAAGGTATGGTGCATTTCAAAAAACTCAGAAAGATGTTAAAATTTCGCCTAAAACAAAACACGAGTGAAATGCCTTTCTTTTTGGAATTTTCACATTTTCTGATGATTTTTCCCGGAGTTCACCTTGGCGGCATCGAAAGTCATGCGTCCTTCGGACTGCTTGAGGAAAAGAACGACGAGTTGAGGGAGTCCCGCCAAATCGGGCTCCGGGCAGGCCTGGAACTTGGTGCAGACCGCCTCGGTGTCGGCCTGGAATTGAGAGAACTTTTTTGATGGGATTTACCAATTTTTCAACTTCGGGATTTTTCCTGACATATTAGCTCCACATAACCTTTTTTTTCCATCACCTTTCAAATATTTATGGAAAAGATATTCCTAGCCATTCAACCAAGGTTTGCACGAAAAAAAAGTCTACTGTTATTTTTTGATAACTAAAATTTATTTGTTCTGCAAGCTTTACAAGTTTCTTAAGAAAGTTCTTTGGAAAGTATTTTTCTGGAACCTGAATACAATTGTAGGGACCGCAGACGAATTTTCAAAAAATTTTTTTCAGCATCGAGCTTTGTATGGTTTGATAGCTGTTTCGATTCAAAAACTCAGAACCGTTTAGTTTTTTTCGAAAAAGATTGAGGATGAAAAAAAGTTATGACGAAAAAAATGTGGCGCGCCGCGCACCATTTTTTTAGTACTGAAATTTTAGTATTATTCATTTTTTTGACATTTTTTTCTCGATTTTTTTCTTCTAGAAAAAGTTTTTGATACTGGTCTATTATGATGTAACAAATCATAATAGAGTGCTAAAATGATGCTAATCAGCTATTTTTGCCGAAAAAAAGTCGGTATTTTGCAGAAAACAAAAAAACTGATGCTTGCGGGTATCGAACTCGCGACCTAAAAATGAAAAAAATCGCAGCGCACGCACTGCGCCAAGCTGTCAGGTCTAGCGCGGGGAGCTTCCATCCGCCTTACCCTTTGAGCCGTTTAAATAGCACAGATTGTCTATTTCAAAAAGAAAAAAACTTGAAGTAATTTAGCTATTTTTTTATCAGAATATGTTCGCAAATCTTTACTCAAACGTTTCGTGGAAATTCACTTCGAAAAAAACTGTTTTTTTCAGTGCTTTTTTTGCCTCTTTTTAACGATCGCTGCCTCAAAACGGCCCCGTAAATTTTTTTGGCAAAGACGAATTTTTTTATTTTATTGTTTCAAAATTACCGTTACTTGAATCAAAATCATTATATAAAAAAAGAAAGAGTGCGTTCGACCTGAAAAACACATGAAAAAAAGCAAAAAAATTACAAAAATTTTTTTAGTTCCATTCACGTTTTTTTGTACGACATTCCGCGAGAACGCATCAAGAAAGCGTGAAATATTTTTTTAAACGAAAGAGGAAGCTTTTTCTGTACATGTGTGTCAAATTTTATTTCGCCAGTTCCACATATTTTTACAACTACAACAAAATGAAAGTTGAAAACCAAAAAAAAGCCACTTTTTCTATCGCGAAAAGGGGCGTGGCTTTGCGGTCCCTATACAATTGATCCAAAGTACACTTCGCCAAGTTTGTTTCAAACTTTAACAGGCCCCAAAAATAATTTCCTTCCGAAGTGAGAAACTTTTTGACTTCAAATTTTCCCAATTCATTTTTCCTGTTTCATACCATGTAAGGAGCAAGACGACGGGCGATGAAGTCGAGTTTTCCGGCGACGAGGGAGCAATCCGTGGCGAAGGAAGTTCCGGCGCAGACGTGGAGGAGCGTGGCGCGGAGCTCGGCCAGCTTGATCGGGTTGTGGGAGGCCTCGACGAAGTTGCTCACGTGCTAGAATAACGATTTCTGAACAATTCTGAAGGCTCCATCTAAAGAAAAATTAAGAATAAAACCTCCTAAAAAAAATTTTGTTTTTGCCTAAAAAAAGTCGTAATGATTTTTGTATAGCGAGACTCAAGAAAATCAACTCGATTTTTTTGAATTTGATAGCTAAAATTAAAATATTGCGCATCAAGTTTTTAAAATATTACTGAAATTTCAAAGAAGCATTTTTCTTATTCGTGGAAGGCCACTAATTTTTTTAGAACAAAATAAATTTTTTTAAGAAGATCTCTCAGAAAAATAGGAATTATTTAGGACCTCCAAACTCTATCTGATGTTTCACAGATCATTTAAAAAATCTTGTCAAGTTCATTCCATTTATTTCGGTCAGTTCTCGTTCTATTTCAACAAGGCTCGAAATATGGGAATCAGAAATTTATCTCTAGGAATCGAAAATTTTGGAAATTGTTCAACTATTCATCTTTTGTTTCATACGAAAAATGAACTCTATGATATTTTTTTTGCGTTTTTATTGTTTTTGAAATCTTCAAAACGAACCTCCTTGCACATTCCGCACACTGACGGAACCTCGGCCTAGAAATAACCAATTTTTATTTTGAAAATTCCGATTTGAGCCTCTAACCTGAGCAACGGCCAGGACAGCCAGGAGAGCGGCGGCCGAGAAAACGGTTCTCATCCTGAGATTTTCATTGAATTATAGTCAATTTTTTACGATTTGAAAGGCGAGAGGGATATATTGGGAAGAGTGACGCGTTGCGTACGCGACGCGGCTTGTGGGGAGGGGGTCACAAAAAAATCTTCATTGTTCCTATACTTATATTTCCTTCAATTGAACTTTTTCCAAATCTATAAGAAATTGAAAAAAAAGATAAAAAGCTTTCAAAAAAGGATAAAAAAATGGTGGCGCGTTAGAATTCGAGCTTCTCGCCAAAAAAGCCGCGACGCACACGCAACGCGTCCCCTTCGCCAATCTACCCTTCTCCCCTTTCAAGCCGGAAAGAGCCCAGCTTGATGAAAAAAAAAATTTCCCAAGAAGGAGGAAAAAGGTTTCGGAGAAGATGGAAATGAAGGGAGCAACCGGCCTTTTATCAGCCGCGTGCCACGTTTCGCGGGTCCAATAATCGCCTCGAAAAATGGCTGATAAGCATTTCAGGATCGTGACAATAAATTATCGTGGAAGCAGCACGTGGCGCTGGTCCCGTTATCGGGCTCCTCGAGCCGCTGACAGTCACAAAATGTTTCGGATTGCTCCCTTCGGCATGATTTATCGATTCCCGATTATGGTCGGAAGAGTGGAGCCTTTTCTGGTGTTTGGAAGCTGCAATTTTATCAGATCTGTTTGAATCTGAATCTTGAAAGAAGCCTCCGGGACGTGTTCTGAAAAAACAAAATGGGAAAATGACTTTGAACAGGAAAAAAAGCTCACTAGGGAACGTTTTTTACCCCCCGGTTGAACTTTTGCTGAAACTTTGCTTAAGTGTACTTCAAACCTTCGTGATTGCAGAACAAGAAAAAAATTTCTCGCAATGGATCTCGTTTTCGAGTTAGGACACTTCAAAAGCCCGAAATAGCGCTTTTTTGGCCTAATGCGTATTCACACTTTGAAGCTTCATAACTAGGGACCGCAAAGCCACGCCCCTTTTCGCGATAGAAAAAGTGGCTTTTTTTTGGTTTTAAACTTTCATTTTGTTGTAGTTGTAAAATATGTGGAACTGGCGAATAAAATTTGACACACATGTACAGAAAAAGCTTCCTCTTTCGTTTAAAAAAATATTTCACGCTTTTTCTTTGATGCGTTCGCGCGGAATGTCGTACAAAAAAACGTGAATGGAACTAAAAAAAATTTTTGTCGTTTTTTTGCTTTTTTTCATGTGTTTTTCAGGTCGAACGCACTCTTTCTTTTTTTATAAAATGATTTTGATCCAAGTAACGGTAATTTTTAAAACAATAAAATAAAAAAATTCGTCTTTGCCAAAAAAATTTTTAGGGAGTGCCGAAAGTCATAATTCAAAAATATCGTTAATAAGCGAATATAATCGAGTTTTTTTGTTTTTTTCAAAATTTAGATCATGAGCTTACTTAAATATTTCTCTACAGCATCTTTGCTTGAAAAAAAGTTGTTTAATACGCAAAAAAATGCTCTTGAAAAATAGAGAATAAAATTAGCGGCGTTTATCACACAGAAAGCGGTCGAACGCAGGTTTCTCAAACGATTATATACATTTATTAGTAAAAAAATCTTTCAATTAAAAAGAATAAAATAAAAAAATTCGTCTTTGCCAAAAAAATTTACGGGGCCGTTTTAATGCAGCGATCGTTAAACGAGGCAAAAAAAGCACTAAAAAAACAGTTTTTTTCGAAGTGAATTTCCACGAAAAAGTTTGAGTAAAGATTTGCGAACATATTCTGATAAAAAAATAGCTAAATTACTTCAAATTTTTTTATTTTTTTGAAATAGGCAATCTGTGCTATTTAAACGGCTCAAAGGGTAAGGCGGATGGAAGCTCCCCGCGCTGGACCTAACAGCTTGGCGCAGCGCGTGCGCTCCGATTTTTCATTTTGAGGTCGCGAGTTCGATGCCCGCAAGCGCCAGTTTTTTGTTTTCTGCAAAATACAGACTTTTTCGGCAAACTAGCAAATTTGCATCATTTTAGCACTCTATTATGATTTGTTACATCATAATAGACCAGTATCAAAACTTGTTCTAGAAGAAAAATCGAGAAAAATGTCAAAAATGGATAATACCAAAATTTCAGTACTAAAAAAATGGTGCGCGGCGCGCCACATTTTCCGTCATAACTTTTTTCATTCTCAATCTTTTTTGAAAAACTAAACGGTTCTGAGTTTTGAATCGAAACAGCTATCAAACCATACAAAGCTCAATGCTGAAAAAAAATTTTTGAAAATTCGTCTGCGGTCCCTATTCATAACTCAGAAACAAGATCTATTGCGAGCAATTTTTTGGGTAAAAACGTTTCCTGGTCAGGAACTTTTTGAGGAGATCACCTGTAACCATTGGTATAATTTCAAAGTCTTTTCTATTTTATATTCATTTTAAAGATCCAGTATAGTCCGTTTTTCGCGACTTGAAAGGGCGGGACTTCTCTGCGCCCTCATTATCTCTCAACGTCTCTCTCATTTTTACGTGCTGTTTCTATGTTTCTCTGACCTCGCCGGTGAGGGAAAAGAGAGACGCAGACACGCGAAAAATGTCAAGTCGCGGTGGACAGACTATAAAAGTCTGGTTAATATATTTACGAAAGGGCGTCTTGTTTATCCAATTATTTCAAAATTAATATGAGAAAGGTCAACATGTGAAGCTTATGATTTTTTTACTCTTCCAGCGTTTTTACAAGACTTATCCAAATCTGGCACTTCAAAAAAGGTAAGCCAGAAAAAAAAAAGGAAAACCTCAAAGTTTCGAAATCATTTGTTGAGAAATTTTTTTGCAAACCATAGCGTTGCATAGCATGTTTATTCACTGCATACGGCGTTCAAAATTATTCCGCCGAATTAAAAATATAGAGTGAAAAAATATTACGGAATTTTGGAGTATCAAAGATACCCTTTGAGCACGGCAAAACTCTCAGAAATAATACAGGTTGGTTGAAAACCTCTGCTGCGGTTTTTAAATGGATCAAAGCCGAATTTCTTAGAAACTACAAGACGGAAAGCTTTCATTATGTCTATTTCGATTCATCAATACTTTTGCGCCTTACAATACTCGAGTGACCATATTATCTTCAATGAAAAAATCTTGTTTGTTTTTCTCAAAAAAAAAATCAGTTGAAACATTGGAGTCTCGCTAGAAAAATCAACAGAGTTGAGTCGGAAAGCTAGATCAATAACCTCAAAATGTAATGAAGAATTTTTTTCGAAGAGTATGAAGAAGAAAAAAAAAATTCTTATCTGGCGATATAAAACTGAGGCATTTTTTTCCTCAGAGGCAAAGTCCGAAAAGGTGGAAAAAAGGCTCCACGGAAATGTTCCTTTTAGGGAGAAAAGGGCACCTTTTTTGCTGCCTTTTTGCACCATTTTTGTTGCCTCTCCCTTTCTCCACCAATTCTTGAGCCTTTAAAATATCAAGAAAAAATGGAAGGCTCGATAAACGGACTCTTTTAGTTCAGCTTCAGTTGCAGTGCCTTCTTTTTTTTTTTTCATCCAACCTCGAAATTTCCACCGATAAAACGCTCATGAAACTTTATTACAACGAGAAAAGAAGCTCTGTTGAGAAACACAAAGTTGCTCCATGGATAATTCAGCTTCAGTTGCAGTGCTTCTATAAAATTCTTGATTTATTTTTGCTCAGGAACAGGAAACTCACGGCGGCGCTGAATTTTCCCTCGGCGGCAAGTTTTGCGGAGACCTGGGTCAGACGAGGAGCCAAACCGGACATCAGTTGGTCGCACTGAAAAAAAAAAAAATGAGAAAATGAACATTTATTTTAATTTCTAACCATGCCTGTCAATAGATATATTAATAACAATATTAAAAACACGACGGTTTTGTTATTGGAAAAATCCAAAAATAAAGGGGGCGTGGTCGAAACCTCCGCCGTTCCCATGTGACGTCATGAGAAACAAACTTAAACAGCAGAGAATATTAAAGGCGCATCAATGGGTCATGAGACGAATCTATTTCTCATTTGAAAAAAACGCGATTTTTCTGTTTCCTTTAAAAATAAAAGCAAACGCCGTGTTAAAAGTAACTCCGCGAAACTTAAAATAGCTATGAGGATATAACTGAATTTCAGAAATTCAGATATGATTTTCAATTTCGCGAAAACTTTGAAAACTTTGTATTTTGAACTTTGAACGTGACATGCGCAAGAGCGCCACGGTGCATGCACACGACACACTACACTTTACGGAAAAAAATATTGCCTCGCCAAAAAAAACGCCGTGAAAAACCAAAAAATGCAGTAAAAACTTCACTTTTGGATTTTCTTCAAAGCACACTTTTAGTTAAGAATATATTAGAACTCGTGAGGAAAAATTCAACAAAAATGAAAAATGAAAATAAAAACCGTTTCGACTCCAAAATGATACACATCAATCCAAAATTTGCACTTCTCACTTTAATTTTCGAACTGAAACCGAAATCATTTCAAACAAGATCTCACGAGATTTCTGTAGAAATAGGGTCCAGACGAGCAGAATTTTTTGCTCAAACCTTCATAAATGAGCTTCTCAACCGGGCTTCCAACAATGTTCTTCTGGAATTTGATTCTTTTAGGTAATATTTTAATAACCTTTTCATGACTACCTGAACAAAGATTTCAGCGTTTCGGGAATTTTCGCAGGTGTGCGCGGCGGTTTCTTCGTGCGACAGAGCGTAGAACGATTCGACTGGAATTTTTCATATTTTCACACATTTTTTTTTCCAAGTTCCATGATATCATTTTAACACAGTTGTATCTTTTAACAGTATTTTCTGAATTTTATCTTCTTGGAATTATCCAATTAAGATTTTTTTAATAGTCATCTTGTGACCAAACATTAGAAAAACGCGTTTTTTTCATTTATAAAAAAATATGAGATTTTTGAAGCAAAAAAAGTCAAGTTTTTCAGTGTATTTTTTTACAGTAGTAAGGGTTTCGAGTTGAAAAAAAGATATTGTGAATATTATCCGGACTTATTTTCACTAAATCATATCGTATTTTTTTGCTATTTTGTGTTAACATTTAAAAATTCAGGAAAAAAAAGAGCCTGAATCATATTTCAAGAGGTCGTCAAAACCTTCTTCCGAGCCTTCCTAAATCCATTTTTAATATTTTTTTCTAAATAATTGTGATCTTGATTTTTTAGTTTTGTACTCACCCACGGATGGTTACGAAATATATACCGACACGGATTTTCGATGGCCAGAACACCGTATATTCTTACTTCACAGGTCTCAAAGCGAAGCGCGCAAAAAGGCTCAGTATACTGTGGTTTTACCTTTTTCTCCTGCTGGCCAGGTATCTCAACGGGTTTACCCGCGTTTTTGAACCTACTTGGGTCTCAGTCGGGCCTAAAACGGGTACAGGAAGGAATAGGTGATCCCGTTGTTTTTTTTTCCAAAATTTAGACCGAGAGAGAAAACGGAGCCCCGGCTGTGGTAAACATACCAAAAGCTCTACCAGCTGTGCTCATACGGGCTCAATACGGGAAAACCCGCTGAGAGCCCGAGTTATCACGGATACTCTGATCACAATGAGAGTATTTTAAGAACAGAGAAGTTCGCGCGAGATTCTTTATAGCTAAAACCTGAGTGCTTCTCGCAGGTCTTTATGTGGTCGCAGATGCCCTCGGCGGTGAACTGCTTAATGGCCATGTAGACGATGGACGGCATGTAGAGATCGAGGACATTTACACAGGAATCCGTGAAGTTGCTCGGGAGGAGTTGGTAGCAAGCCCATTGGCGGATGTCGTGCGACAGCGAGTACTGAAAAAATCAAAATAGTTTTATTATAATCTGTCCAAAAAATGATTGGAATCCAAGAAAGTGAATGTCGCCACGGCGTTCATTTTTAGCGAAAGCGAAACAAAAAACACGATGGGCGGAGCCAAAATATCCGCCGTTCCCAAGTGACCTCATGGGTGCGGCAGAGATTTGGGCTCTAAGAGCGTAAATAACACGGCATATTAAAGGCGCAGGCCGCCGTATTGCCAGAGGTCTTTGAGACGAACCGAAATCTCTCTACACAAACGCAATTTTCTGCGCGAAAGCGGCGCAGTGCATGCACACGATACACGACACTCTACGGAAAGTGGGCGTGGCGTCGTCGAAAAAAAGCCGTGTAGTTAACCCTTTTTTTCCATACTCAATTCTTACTTATAAAACTTCATTAATTTTTTTCTACAGTTGAAGTCTCTCAATCACAAGCCTGTATCGCCTCATCTATTTGATAATTTTCTTTTCAATAAATTCGATTTTGCCTGCGTGCACGGTTTCTTCATGTCTACTAAACGCCCGAATGGTTTCTAGAATTGAAACCTAGGGGGAACTTGAAGCTTCCTCTCTAGTGGCCACTTTAACTAATAATAACAAGAGTTGTAAGACCACTGAAGGGATCACTCAAGTTTTAGAGGCTTAAGGGTCAGACCCTGAACCCCTATAGAGACCAGCTGGGTTTTAACCCTCTAGGGAGCCCTACTTTATCAACTATAGATGTTGTTTTTCCACTAACTTCTTCAGGGATCACTGGGAAATTCCCGAAATAAAATTAATTCTCAAATAACTCGGAAACTGACCCATTTATTGATCATTTTTTCCAAAAGGCCTCTCAAATTTTGAGAGCTTAATGTTCAGATCCTAAGCCCCTATAGGGATTACTTGAACTTTATTTTTTTAGGGGGCACTTTTTCGATTTTTATGGGAGCTGGTCTCCACTAACCCCTATAGGGACTACTGTTCGAATAACTCGAAAACTCACCCGTTTATTGATCATTTCCTCCAAGAGGCCGTCGACAGTCAGCATGCATTCGAAACAGCTCATCAGGATCTGAAAAAGGCAAAAATCTAAGAAAAATAGGTTAAAATCTAACCTGTCCTTGTTTGGTCTCGACTCGTCCGGATTGAGCCCAGAAGACGGCGGCGTTGGTCTCCGTCGCCGGCAAGTTCATCACCGGCATCTTTACGGATAATTTATAATTTTTGATGCGGATGGTTTCAGAAAAGCATTAGGTAAAATTGAAAGCAAGGTCTGGAGGACACCAAGGTTTAAATTATCATGACCTGAAGGTTCTAGAAAACCTAGAGAAGGTAAATTTTTTTCGTTTTTTGAAAAGTTACGAGTTGTTCTGATTCTCGGCTGACTTGAGCCATCAAAAAATGGATCCTGACACGATAATGCACGAGGTAGCGCCTGGCTCGCGGAGAGGGCAGACAGGACACGCCCCCTTAGTGTCCGAAGCTAGCCGTGAATCATCTATGTAATAACTAGTTTCAAATAATAAAAAAATAAATAAAATAATTATATAAACTTTGAAAAAAACACCTAATCATACTTTCTGTTTAAAAACCCTTGCTGAGAAGTTCATAGTTTTTCTTTTTACGCGGACTTCTCTGCGCCCTCCTTATCTCTCGACGTCTATCTCATGTTTACGTGATGTTTCCATGTTTCTCTGACCTCGCCGGTGAGAGAACAGAGAAACGCAGACACGCGAGAACTGTCAAGTCGCGGTGGACGGGCTATAGAAGCTAAAATTCATTACAAAGAACATTTTCCTTTCTTTTAGACTTCTAGCAAGGATTTTCAAACAGACCACAGAAAACATGAAGCTGGGGGAACGCTTACAAAGAGGGAAATCAATGGGGATATTAAAATACTTTATTCGTGGAAAAAAAGCGAAAAAAACAAACAATTACACGACGATTACACGCACAGAAATAAAGCGAACAGTGGGGAGTAACGGTACGAAAAATTGGGGGGAAAACACTGAGGAGAAGGTTGGGCGATCAGCTTCGGCTTCGTCGTGGGAGAAGCTTAGAGACGCTGGAGGAATCCGAGAATACCGACCCATTTGCGGGGCTTGACGGCCCAGGAGGCGTCGCAGGCGTGCACGTCGACGCAAACCTCAAAACCTCGGGGTTACTTTGAAATGAGAACTTTTTCCATTTTTATTTCTTTTCATGTCTTTACTCGAAGTGGTCGTTCTAATTCATACATAAGCAGACCAGTGTTTAATTCCGCCGACCTCTACTCTCAAGTCTTCCTGTATTAAAGCTCTTACTACACCCTTTCTCTAGCTCTCGAAGATTCAAACGAAAACTCCGGGGGTGGCATTTTTTGTTCACTTGCGACGCGGTCGCGATTCGTTTCCGGCGCCTATTCAGAAATTATCGCATTTATTCAATTCTTTTGAAGAACTTTCCTTCATTTCAAGCACATTATGTAATATTGTACTGTAATTTCGAATTAAGACAACATTTCAAATTTACCCTTGCAGCCGTTGCATTATTTAATCAAAATCTTTTCTTTTTCTCTAAACCTCTCAAATAACCAAAATCCAGTCGTTGGAACACAGTTTTCTCGATGAAAACCTTATAAAAAAATTGAAAACTACAAAAAAATTCTCAATAAAAAAATTGAATCAATCACATTTCAGAATCCGAAAACAATTCTATCATGAATTTTTTTTTTCTTTCGACGAAGCTGTCGTTATGGGATATAAATTGAAAACTTTCAACCGATTGGTTTTTTAAACTCTGATTGAAAAAGTGAGTTCAAAAAGTTCAAAATTCGAAAACTGAAACTGCTCATAGTTATTATTATTTTTTTATTCAATTATTTTTGAATGCGCCGTAGCGCAACAGGTTGGGAACCTGTCTACGGTCCACAGGGTCACAAGTTCGATCCCCGCCTCGGCCTATCAACTTATTTTTTTATAATTTCAAAACCTTGAAAAATCGCTTTTTAAAAAATTTCGAAGCTTTTTCCCAGCACTATTCTTTCGTTGCGTGATTTAGTTTTTGGCTCATGCTTTTTTTGAAAAAGCGAATTTTCCCAGTAAAAATGTTCATTTTTCACCTGATGAGGGTTCTGGAGCATGGCGTCGGCCTCTTGGATCAACTGGGGAAGATACTCGTCGACGACCAAGTCGCACTGAAAAATCTTCCTGATTCCATAGAATATCTTAAAAACTGACGAATCCGCGGTAGCTGCCAAGTGGGGCGCAGACGTTGGTGCGGAGGAAGTCACGGACCTTCAAAATGATCAAAATGTTCGCATTTTTCATGTTCTCCTGGATACCTCAGTCTGGGTTTCCTTGTCCTCGATGAAGGTCTTGACCTCCTTGACGGCGAACTCGCACTCGTCGCAGACGTAGCGGTTCTGAAGATTCAGGATCAGAATTGTTTTTGGAGATGGGGAGGACCTCTACGTTGGTGAAGAGCTTGGCGTCGTAGCGCTTGGCGAGGGCAAGGAGAAGACGACGGAAGCCGTCGATTCTGGGGTTGTTGCAGAGATGGACCTTGGCGCAGACGGCCTTCGCGTCGGCCTGGGAGTAGGATTTGGTAGTTTGGTTACGAAAAAGGATGATGGTAGGCTTTTTTGATAATTTTTTCTAGAAATAAGGGTAAATACGGGGGCCAGGCCACTTTTCAATAATGAGATCGTAGCGTAGGGCCCCCGCAAACCTCGCGCACCCCGCGAAAAAAGTCGCACGTGCCCCCAAGTGGAAAAAGCCGACTTTTTTCAGTTTTCACTTACAAGAATCTTTTTTCAAACAAACTCAATGTTAGAAACCTTCTTTTCCCATCTACTATTCTGTGCGTCGAAGTGACTTTAGGCCAATTTTTCGAAAATTCCGAAACTCCGAGTAGAATCATATCCGTTTTTTAATTTAGAACTTGAAAGATTTGAGAATTGAAAAAAAAAGAAAAAGAGTTTTCATTTTGAAAAGAATCGTCGGTAAGACTTTTTTGGATGCTTCTCATGAATCTGAGAAAATTTGGATAGTCACCAATAAAGGAAAAAAATTGAGAAAGACGACTAGATTTGGTGAGAAAATTAATTTCAAAATGTTTATAATCAGGAAACTTATCATTGATTTTTTTATAACGAGATTCAGTAGAAAATGTTTGGTTTTCGAAAATTATCAGGAAAATCGAGAAATGAAAGTTCTCAGAAATTTTCGTTCAGATTCAGAACACAGAGAAAGTTTCATTAAGACTCGCCGATCAGTAATTTTTATAAGTCAACTTTTTCAATGCAAGTCCCTATTTGACCCGATCTCAGAAAGTCATCTGAAACTCACGAGCCAGGGCTGGAGCTTGTCGAGGAAGATCTCGAGCTTGGAGACGAACATGCGGCACTCGTCGACGTAGGAGGTCTCGTGGCACAGGATGTTCAGCAACATTTTCAGCTCCTGCACCTTCTTCGGGTCCTTGGCCGCGTCGGAGAAGCGCTTCACCAGCTGCAGTAATTTTTTGGAGGTTTGAGAAAGGAACCGCAAAATCATTACTTCTCACAAGTTGCGAAAAAAAGCTTGTTTCTTTGAATTGAAGGAATCACTTTTTTCTACTTTTAAAGACTTAATGAAGACCTAGAGATGGAGATAATCCTTTCCAATTTATTTTTAGGGCGATTCCTACCGACTGGCACTCGTCGCAGCTGGTTCCGACGGGCTTATTTTCGGAGACGCGGTTCGATTCGAGCATCGCCGACTTCTGGAAGGCGAACGTCGCGACGAACAGCGTCGACGCCAGGATCAAGAACTTCATTCTGAAAACACATGATTCAGAATTAAAGAAATAAATAATTTAATACAAACTGCAGAATCCAATAACAAAGACAAGTGTTCGATGAAACTACAGCCAAATCGGAAATTCGCATCAAGACTCGTAAACCTTTGACCTTGTGGAATTGAGATAAAAATCTGTTTTGGAGTTTTTTGAAATTTTGCGCCAAGGCCTCTGAAGGTACAGAGAACTTTCGGACAAAGTTACTATGGAATTTAAAAAATCAAAATGGTTTCATATTCCTCTGTTTCAAAGAGCAATTTCAACATCTTATCAGTTTTTTCAGTTAATTATGTCGATTGAAACTTGGAAAAATCGAAAATCTATGATGAAAGCTTACAACATGCAAATTGAATTTTTAAACGTAATTCTCTCACTAGTGAAGGTTTCATACAACGTTTTTTACCCCCCGGTTAAACTTTTGCTGAAACTTTGCTTAAGTGTACTTCAAACCTTCGTGATTGCAGAGCAAGAAAAAAATTTCTCGCAATGGATCTCGTTTTCGAGTTAGGACACTTCAAAAACTTGAAATAGCACATTTCGGACTGATTCGCGTATTTTGCGGACTTTGAAGGTTCATAACTGGAAAACGAGATCTATTGCGAGAAACTTTCTTTTTGTTCTGGAATCAGGGGGTCCTAAAGTACACTTTACCGAAGTTTCATGAAAATTTCAACCGGGGGGGGTAAAAAAACCTTCCCTTGAAAGAAAATGGCTAAGTTATTTTGGTGATGACAAATGATTTTTCAGAAGGATATCTCTAAACAGGAAGGTCATTCCTGTCAACCTCAGAGACTAAAAAAGTGTCGAAAAACCTTAGAAATAAAATTAGAAGAAAAATGGCCATTTTTCGCGCAAGCTTCAGTCTTACTTACTATATCTATAAGTCAAAAGTCCTCGAAGAAGCTAAAAAAAAGAATCTAGACTCAAAAGCTGAGAAGAAGGTTTGAACTCGTGGGGCTGAATCGGAACGAGCGAATGGGCAAGGGGCGTCGATTGGAAAACATTTGGAGGCAGATCTTCTCGCGGCGAACAACTGTCGGACAGGGCGAGGGGCGGATGACCAGCCGTGCCGAGTCGCCGTCTCACGTGAGCCCCCCAATTTTTGCTGTTTTCATAGCTTTTTCGAGAAGAGTTCCCAAAATGTGATGAAATTTGGCAAGCATCCGGGGATTTGTTGGGAAAAAAGTGAGGAAATTCGTGTAGAACCCATTTTTCGTGCCGGGTGTTCAAGCGAAATCACAAATTTTAACTGAATTAATTTGAACGGATCAAGAAGCAGAAATTTCTTGCACCCCTCTGATTATTATTATCAATAAAGCTTTTTAGAAAAAAATATAAAAAAATAAAAAAATTCCAGAAAATATCCGTAAAATGAAAGATTTATCATAAAAAAATTATCCTGCTCCTCGAAACAAGAAACCTATTTGAAGCAATTTTTGCTGTTTTCCTAGCTTTTTCGAGAAGAGTTCCCAAATATGTAATGAAATTTGGCAAGTATCCGGGGATTTGTTGGGAAAAAAAAATGAGGAAAACCGAAAGAACCCACTTTTTGTGTTTGATATCAAAGCAACTGTGCCTTATCTACATAATAATCACTGAAATTACTGGAAGGGGTTTTTTCCAAAATCCTCCGGTTAACATTACTTTCTGTGCTTGCAGTCAAGAAACATCAATGATTTCTAAAAACTAAAAAAAAAATTTCACGCCCAAAAAAAAACTATTCAAAGTAATTCGAACCTTACTGGCTATTCCAGATCATCTCAGTTTTTCGAAAATGAGAGTTTAAATTTCAGTACAGGCACCAGAAACTTCAAAAAACTGACTCCAAAAAAAATGAAAAAAATAATAGTATTTTTTGGTTGCGACAATTGTTAGAACTTTGAAAAATAACTTCTAAAAAAAATTCACCTTCGTATTTTTACTGTTCCGCTAATTTTGAATATGAAAAAAAAAAAATTCTGATGACCTTTTTTTCATATTTTTTTAAACAGAAGATATTGTTCGAGGAGGAAATCAATCCCAAAATTGATGAAATCGGACAATATTTTGAACCTTTTTCTTCTGAAAATGAAGCTTTCAGGTCAAGAAAAGCTAATGGGATTTTGGGATAAGAATTTTCACACTTCAAAAAATTTCTAATTGCGTTTTTTTTTGTCTAGATCAGGAAATCTCTTAGTTGAGCTCAAGCTTGATACTCAAGAAAACGTCCGATTCGCAGTATTCTCGAAGGTCTATTATTTTTCAAAAGAGCATAAAAAAACCTAATAAAAGTTTCGAAGCTAAGAGTCGTAATCAGTGTTCTATTTATCGTCTAGTGAACATTTTGCTCCAATTCATTTCAGAAAGAACTTTCAAAACTTTTTGAAATCCGTGTTATCAACTATTTTGCATATTACAAAAATTAAAGGTTCAAGATACTGTAAAGCAGTTTCGAAAGTCTCATACGAAGCCAAAAACTGTTCATATCTTCGAAAAGTATGTCTAAAACTCTTCAGAAAGTCTAAAATCTCTCCCAAATCGCCAATAATCCAACAAATTACATTGAAACTTCTCGAGAACTTGAAAAATAGCTCAAGCTATCAGTGAATCATAACAAATAGTATAACACCGATCAATGATCTCAGGAAATCGGAATCAACAAAAGCCGTTGAGATTTCCGATCACCTCTCATTTCCATTGTAACACCGAACAATACAGCAATAAAGAACCTCGAAAAAAGCAGAGGACTGTCCAAAAAAAACCAAGCTGAGGGATTGTTGGGGGAGAAGAAAGGATTCGAGAAGATTTTCAGATTAATGAGGCCGACCAGCATTACTACGGAGAGGCCTGTTTGCTTGGGCAAGAACTCGCGAGCAAGAAAACATCAGCAAAATGTTAAACTTTTAGGTCGAAGAAGGCTCTCGACCGTGTGAGTTTTTGAACTGTTTGAAATAAATTCCGGAATACTGGAAAAGTTGGCCGGTTTTTTAGGAACACATTTTTCAAGTTTACAGATTTGAGAAGTTCTTTTGGCTTTATTGTGTGTTAACGGCTTGAAAGAAATTTTTTCTCCATAGTATAGTCTGTGTGCCACGACATGAATCTTCACGGAACGACATTCCGCTGTTCCGCTGCGTGCGTTCGCGAAGCGTCTTTCCAATCCAGGTCACGCTTTCAATTGATTTTTATCGCTGTGGGAGCACAGAAAAGTAGAGTACCTTAATAAAAGAAAAAAAAAATTAAAAGCACGACCAACGTTCGCAAATGCGCACAGCGGAACAACGGAATGTCGTTCCGTGAAATTCCAAGTCATGGCACACAGACTATAAGATTAGTTTCAAAGTCAGATTCAAAAACTTGTGGTCACTAGCTTTAAAAAAATTCTATAATTTTATATATAACATAATTTGATTTTTAGTCAAAATAAAAAACCTGACCTGAATTTTTTTGGAGAAAATATCTCCAAACTGTGGCCGTCAATACTTGATTTTTCAAACTTACAAACTAAACACAATTGAGAATTCTACTTTGGAGGTTTTTTAAAGACAACTTTGAACATGAAAAACTTCAAAAAATGGTCACTATAATAAAAACAATCGATCTTTTCAATGAGGCTGATGAAACTTCAAACAGTAACAACATATTTTTCTGGAATTTCTCAGTTAACATAAAAATTGCGATACAGTAAACTCTTTTTATCTTGAAAATTATTGAAGTTTTTGCAAATTGAAAAAAAGTTGTTACGAACTCATGAATAAATTTTTATACTCCGAAACTCAAAATTATCTCTGACTCTCCAAAATACAGTTATCTTTCTCACTCTCTGACAAATATTTCATTTTCGCGAGAAAACATGGCATTAAATTTTCAAAGTCCTTCAAAAAATAGATTAATCTGCAATATCACTTCAAAAAGTACTCGAAAAAGTTCATTCAAGGCGAAAATTCTTCAAAAAGTCAAAAAAATGGACTGATTTGATGATCTCTTTCTGGAAAAAGTAAAGACCAAATGAAACTTGCGTCAATACGTCCGATAACAATAAGCACGCGAAAAATCGAGCGTGGTTTCCTTATCAGCTTGATTATAATATATCATCGAAATATCTCAATTTTTTTCCGAGTTAAATTTGGTACTCAGCTTATTTCTGCGGCTTCCAAAAAGTTGAAAAAAAAGAAAAATTTTTGGAAGAATGACTTTTTTCAAGAGTTCTGTGAAACCCAATAAGAACTGAGTTACGGGCGATCAAAATAAGAGGTAAAAATCTCCGAATTTAGTTGAATTTGGTATCAATCGATTGAGGAGATCAAGAAAAAGTAAATAACAAACTGATTTAGTCGTTGTAAAAAAATTTTTTAAAAAATCATATCTCGGCTCAAAATGCTCAGAATCGGGTAAAATGATCTTTTTCATTGTGCTCAGAAAGTGCTCTTCCATATAACTAAGTTGCTAGAAATCGAGTTATAATTTTTTAAAAAAGAACTTATTTAAATTATTCATAACTTTCTTTCTAGAAGCTGAGGAATTTTTTTCGATGCAGATTTTTTTGGACCTCTGACGTCATTTCCTATCGATTGATGTTAGAATCTCGAGAATTTTGACCTTTGGAAAAATCGAAAAAAGTGTTGCTTTGACTGCAAAAGCCAGAAGCTTCTTATCAACATTGAAAAAGGAAATCTTGCTTTTCATAGATTTTTGAACAATCTGTACCTGACCTACTCTTAAAAAAATGAATAAATGAGTGAGAATTTCTAAAAGAAAGAAGAAGTTCCAAGAACTTAATGAGAAAAAAGGATCAAAGAACTGAAAAAAAGTCGCGCGTTAGCGTTTGTTATCAGTTAATCAAAAATGAATGATGATTTGCTGTCGTGGCAGGAGAATGGGCTCTAATTCGCTGCAATCAGTCGACCAAAAGGGCCAATTTATCTCGAGTTTGGTCTTTTTTTGCAATAATCAGTCTGCAAAAGGGACCGTCAAAAAATAATAGTCAGTTTCAAAATATT